GATTTTGACTTTGGTTATTTTGATCGGTTATATCTAACTTTCCGAAAATTGCGCATGCGCCAAAAAATGGATTATGCCAGAGTCCTCGTTCTTCGCCGCAGGCCAGAAGAAACGCAGGCTCTGGGTACGAGATTGCCTCTCAGTCTGATCTCATTTCCAGAGCCTGCATTTCTCTTGGAACGGTGCTGACCAAGAGAAACGCAGGCTCAATGAGCAACCAAACTTAATCTAAGTTTGATTGATGCATATGTTCCCAATTTAYATTCCTGCTTTGAGGATTTTAATTTCCAGTGCCTGCTAAGGAAGTGCTAGGGAAGCACTGGTGGCGTGTGCTGCTAATGCGCCGCCTCTCACCAATGCGGCCCGAGTTCGAGTCCTGCCGATCTCGATGTCGTATGAGAGTAGAGTTGTTTGTTGGTTCTATCTCTCCTGTGCTTCGAGGGTTTTTCTCCGGGTTCTCCGGTTTTCCTCCCTCCCCAAAAATCAACTTCTAAATTCTAATTCGATCTTTGGGCTTTCACTTAGTTTGTAGCCTAGCTCTGTTGTGATTGTCTCTTGCTGTGATATGACAGCGAAATGCTTTGCAGATTTTAGATTTTAGATTTTAACGCCCTCGGCCACACATGAAACGTTTTCGCAATACATTCCTATCCCTTTTGCAGGCTTATCGCTAGCTTTACAGCAAGCCAAATGCGCATGCTCTATAGTCATGTTTTCGAACTGTTCCAACGTCGAGGTGTGGACGGGTTTAAAAACAGTCACATGACATTCAGATCACGTGTCATTTCCTTGAGTATCAATTGTTCGTTATCAGTTGCACTTTATATGAGATGCATGAAACTTGGAGTGTAAGGATGAAAACTAATTTAACTAATTGGCACACGTCATCTGATATGTAAAAACCTCCATCCAAAGGACACGTCTATCAAGATTCATTTGTAGTTCCGTGTGATGAAGCATTTCACTCTTCTCAAAAGTTAAAAATAAATTTCAATTGGTACTGTACTGGGAGTTAGCCGTGCCTTTTCGTTGATCAATCCAGAGCTAGGGTTGTTCAGTTCTGGGTATCGATAAAACGTTAAGGTTTTACGTATTCTCAAATGTAAAACCAATTACTTCAGTGAATCGCACGTATTTTTTGGGTACTTAGATATGGGGATAAGACACCGAAATTCCCGTTGGCCAGGATCTTCGCCATATTATGGATGTTTGTAGGAATGTGCATGGTGTCATTATTAACAGCTACACTCACCAAAACTCTGACAACTGGTTTGGTTGAAAACCGGCGTGAGTTTCACGGTCTTAAGGTAATGAATCATTCATAGTAGAAGAAGGGATTTGTGGTGTAGCAGGGCCTGGAATATCAGGCCTCGGTTTGTACAAGAGGAAGAGGAGAGGAAGAGAAAGAAAAGAGAAGCGAGAGAATTAAAGAGAAGCGAGAGAATTAAAGAGATGAAAGGAAAAGAAAGAAAGGAAAATTAGAAAAGGAAGAAAGAAACGGGAGAGGAGTGGACAGGACAGTGAGTGGATTGGGGAGTGGATTGGGGGGGGCTTGCTTAATCAATTCCTATGAGAGGAAAACAAGACACGACACGACACAACACGAGAGAGGAGTGGACAGAACAGGACAGTGAGTGGGGGGAGGGGAAGGGAAGGGAAAAAGGCAGGAGACGAAAAATTCGTGGAATTCAAAGTATTTGAAATAAGTAAAGAATCTCAGATTGACCAAGAAACCTTTTTCATCGTTGTAGATTGGAGTATTAAAAAGCAGCCACACATACGACGAGGCCGTTAAAAAGGGAGCAAAAACACAGAGTAAGTATGATGAGTGTGCGCAATGTAATATCTGGAATTGAAAAAATAGAAAACGCGTGCGTGTGCTGTGTGTAGTTATAAAACACGGGATTGGCAGAACACGGATTGGCAGAACACGAAAGAAGTGTTAAGGGAAGAACGACGGGTAGCGGAATGCTTAATGCTCGAGACTTCTCGAGTATTCTTCTGTCAATCCAAAAGTGCTTTCATAACTACACACAAAACAGCAAGCAAGATATTTATTTATATTTTTACGAGAGTATCACGTGATAGCTTGCCAGTGGTCACAAGTATATCACATGGTGGCTCGCCTGGTCACGAGAGTATCACGTGGTAGCTTGCCAGTGGTCACGAGAGTATCACGTGGTAGCTTGCCAGTGTGGTCACGAGAGTATCACGTGGTAGCTTGCCAGTGTGGTCACAAGGGTATCACGTGGTAGCTTGCCAGTGGTCACGAGGGTATCACGTGGTGTATCACGTAGTAGCTTGAGTAATAGTGCGAAAGGACACGAACAAAAAACGTCTGCGCATGCTCTATGTCGAAACGTCTTCAGTGATATTGTAAAACTACGTAAATTTGTCTTCCAAACATAAATTGGACTTCACGTACCAAAACTTAGTGTTCATGCTTGAAAATTAAGGCTTTTTTTTTTAGCATTGTTTTCATTAACACAATTTCTTGGTCTCACAAAAGTATACTTGCGAAATGTTTTTAGCTCGTGAAGAGCTATTGGAGTGGCTAGATTTCGCATTTTTCGGATAACGCTTCTCAGCCAATCGTTTTGGGTAATTAATTGGAATCCATTGTATTCGCCAAGTGACGTTGTTTGTAGAGGAAGCCATTTTGGATTTTCGATCACTTCATAATCAAGTAATCAGCAGCATATTTTGAGTATTCTTTGTTTACTTTATGCTCTTTTTATTGGACCTTGAGACATGAGATTGTCGTATTTTTCATCACGTTGGAAGGAGAATCCGAAAACAGCCTGGTTTGTCATATGTTGGATCGATTAGACTCGGTCCAGATAATCTCAATCGTAGAAAAAATTCGTAACCAGAAATCCGAAAAGAAAGGATTCTAGCCAATTTTTAATAGATTTTTTTCATATATAGTGTATTTCTTTCTAACCCAAAGCAGAAATTTTATTTGAAAATGAGGTTTAGGCCTTCATTTGCTTATTTCCCATATATTTTATATAAAAAGCCTGACAAAGCAAGATTCTAATACAAATGCAACAAAACATCGTTGTACAATTGAAAATACCGYTTCAAACAGGCATTTTATCATAGTACATCAGTTTCTAACCGTTAAAAATTTTTTTTGAGTGTTAACCCAAAACGAAAATTGGGATCAAAACTCATACGAAAGTCTAGTTTTTGGCCCTTTTTGCACCAAAGCATAACTCCGACTATCACCTTACTCGGGTCACAATACCCTCAATGAAATGAGTCACCAAGTGTCATTTGTTCATTGGTACTCAAAAAGCTTCACGAGCTTACCATGGAAACATTTATTTTTTCACTCTAACTCGTTTAAATTCTTTTAAAAACGTGCTGAAATGCACGCATGCGCAAACGTTTTTCTCTACTGAGTGTCTTTGGAAAGGAAATATTTCGCATTTATCCCTTATATAAGAATTTTAGAAATTATGTTGAGGGAAGCACGCTGAAGGACAACTGGAGAATCCAGGGGGAAACCCCCAAAGCAAGAGAGATAATCAACAACAAACTCAATTCACATAAGACACCGAGTATGGGAATGGAACCCTGGGTCCAGTGGTGAGAAGCCAAGCGTTCTCGTCGGCGGGCTACGCCATCCGTGCTTCAGTAAAATAACCACATAAAATTTTCTCTTTATCTTTCCCTAGAATACCTGGACTTGAAATCCATGTACACTGCTTTAAACAACGATGAAATACAAGGCATCCTGGTGGATATATTCGTGGCCACATACGTTAGAAATAACCTGAACGTATTTGGCTTTCAGGATAATATATTCGTTGCACAGTCGTACGACATTCAATACTCGATTGGGGTTTACTTTGGTTACGGGATGGCTATGTACGAGGATTCTAAACCGTTCAGTATACTGACCGACTGTTTAAGATCGATGTTTGAAAATGCGAATAGACGCATCGATGTATTTTCTATCGTAGAGAAATACATTCAGTCTCAGGAAATTGTGGAGGTAAGCTGACCAATCTTGAAACAGAAAATCCTGCGTCCTCTTATACTAAGGTCCGGCCTTATCCTGGTTGTTTTTACCAGCTTTATTGGGCGCCGTTCTTATTGGTTTCTGTTTCCAGCCAGGGAAGGTGTCCAGGAAGGCAGAGGTGCTTCCATTTAAACGAATCCATCCGGTTCGAAATTCGTTTGCTAAAGTAAGAAAAGAGCGGGAAACTTTGATTACCGGCAAAACGTGTACACGTGTCCAGCGGGATAAGTGGATTACCTCCATTAGAAGACCGAGTTTCTAGAAACCTGATTTTCCGGTTTTTCCAGATAAATAGTAAGCATCCCAAAATACTCAGCCCCACCCCGCCGCACCCTACCACGCGACCCCCTTTACCCTTACCCCTAATTTTTTATTCTCATTATTTTCACTAACTTTACCTTTGTAACTTCCTCTTTAGAAATCGAAGGTCTATGATGAATTCAAAATCGAAATCAATCTATTCTCACCGACATCTGATATCTTTCTCATGGGGCTGAGGACACTCTGCATCATTCTTGGCATTTTGGTGTTTTTCGGAATCATATGGGAGATCGTTCGCTGTCGGTGGAGAAAAACTATTTTTCTTCCAAAAACGCGTAAGATATAGTAGTCATTTGCAATTTGTTAATCATTTCTGGGGTGCAACCACTTGATAAACAATTAAATCCCTTGAGATTTAGATAAAACGATGAAACATATTGATTAATCTCACGAGTGAGGATAATCAATTCGATAAGAAATGCTTTGTTRTCGTCAGCCAACATTGCAGCTATGACGTAACATCATCCCAAGAATAGCTGCATCGTTTCAGGGTAGACTAGGCAGAATTTTCCACTTCATAACATGTGATATATTGCGGCTATGACGTAACCTGCACAACATCGCGGCTATGACGTAACATACTCAACATTAAGGCTATGACGTAACATGCATCCCAAGAATAGCTGCATCGTTTCAAGGTAGACTAGGCAAAATTTTCCACTTCACAACATGTGATATATTGCGGCTATGACGTAACATGCTCAATATCGCGGCTATGACGTAACATGTTCAACATTGCGGCTATGACGTAAAATGTACGGGCCCAAGAATAGCGGTGTTGTTTTAAGGTAGACTATGCAGTTCACTTCAGTGTCTTTCCATTTTCGTACCCAGACCCTTCTCACCAAAACATCGACTGAAATCTTCGATTTTTCCTTAGAAAGCTGAGTAGGCTTTGGGTACGAGAATCTTGATAATAATAATAGGACGTACTTGATGAGCGCATTTAAAAATCTCAATGCGCTTACAAAATCTAAAAAACAACAAAACTAAGAAAAAATAAATGAACTATATCTAGGTATACAATATTAATTTTCACGAGTCAGATGGCGAAGGAAAAGATAAGTCTTTTAAGTGCGGTCTTAAATGATGAGACGGACGGGGCTAGCTTGACACACTCGGGTAAAGAGTTCCAGAGTTTGGCGAATTAAGGAGAATGCCCTCTCGCCATAGTTGATTGTGTTTGGACGGCTAGAGATCTGTAATAAGGATTTTGCAGAGGAGCGAAGTGTGCGGGTAGGACAGCGAACCTTTACAAGATCAGATAGGTAGGATGGAGATTGGTCTTGGAGGGACTTGTAAGTAAGGAGTAGGATCTTAATTAAAGGAGTAATATGATATGGTCAAATAGACCAGCTCCCACCATCAGTCTAGCCGCAGTATTCTGACCCTTTGTAACTTAGTGAGTTCGGTGGAAGGCAGGCCGTAGAGGGGCCGTCGTAGAGGAGACTGTTACAATAGTCAAGATGTGAAATGATGAGTGCATTAACCAACCGCGCTTGAGTTCATCAGGGAGTAGATAAATAGTGTCTTTCCACTTAGCAACATGTGATATACCCTTGAGCATAATGTCTTTTATTTACCAGTAACTATTTGGTAATAATAATATCAATGAGATTACGCGGTCTGTAATGGGAAAACATGACCTATTTTTGATACCTTGTATGGACGTTCGCCTTTTTGTTACCTTTTTTTAGATTTATTTTCCAATGCTTTTCTTGTTCGGCGTGCTACTTTAATTAAAAAGGTCTGATCTTATTTATTGTCTCCTTTTCAGACGCAGAGAGCATTGCTATGTCTGGACACCAGAAAATGACAGCTGAAAACATCAACAAATTAGTCAAAAAGTTAGATGAAGTAGAACGAGCTCTCGGTAAAGTCATGGAGTTTAGAGAAATTTATGAGCATTGCAAAATAGATATTCAGAGATACGACTCTGGTATAGCTAATGGAAACCCTCACGGGATATCCGGGACACCGAACAGTGGCTATAGCAATAATGCTTAAAAAGCGAAGAACTTGAAAGATGATTTCAGTCATTCACATATGCGGACGTTTTCTAGACACCTCTTAACTGAGAACGGCCCAAGGAAAGTAAAATATACGTTCTTAGATGCACTGTGCAGAGGTTCTAGAAAATAGTTTTTGAATGTTGAATGCATGTTGTTTGTGGATTAAAATAACTTTTATCTTGTTCAACCTTCGACTTTGCACTTCATGAAAGCCACCAAGAATCCTAAGGAGAGCAAGTTTAAAGCAAGAAAGACGTTCCTAGATGCAGAGGTTCTAGGAAATAGTTTTTGAATTTTGAAGCCATGCGGCTGATGGATGTAGTTTGTGGATATCTTTTTCGATCTCGGTTTTGCACCAAGGATACTAAGAAGAACAAGTTCGAAGCAAAAATGACGTTATCAGATGCAGAGGTTATATAATGTAGCTTGTGAAGGTGGAAGACATGGATGTACTTTCGTAGATTAAATTAAATTTTATTTAGATTGACCTTTGCACCTCGTGCAAGACTTATGTATGATGTACATGAGGCCCGAATTGCAATATGGACCCGGTGTGAATGCGATAAGCAAAAGGTCACATTGCAACAATATGGAATTTTCTCAAACTTTGTCTGAATCGTTCAGTATCCGGCATATTTTCTTGTGCTGACATTATTTAAATATCAATGCAATATATATTTCAAGCTTAGTAAGCAACATGCAACATTCACCATACTTTTTTGAAATAGCTGTTTATAGGATTAGCTCAGTAAAGGCCTTTTGATATCTAGTAAAAATAATTACGCGATCGTGTGCAGTAAGCAAAGCACATGGGTTTTGACAGAACACAAGACAAGTGTTTGGTGTTCTGCTAATCCCCAAGTGCTTTATAACTGCACATATACCTTAGACTGCGGGCAGTCCCACTTTTTCCTCCATACTCAGTAAAGAAAGATTCAGGATTGCTTTGGACGCGCGCGGAGACAGAAGCCTAAAACAATTGTCTTTAAACTGAGTCTGGAGGGAATAGTGAGACTGCCAGCAGTCTACGTATACATCACAGCAAGCATTTTTTTCTTTTAAAACATACAAATTACAATATAAACACCACAATGATGCGCCCCAACAATAACCGTTATTTTGGATAAGAATTACAAAGCTTGGAAGTGTACGCCTGTAGTATGCGCTTTTATAAAGTATAGAGAAGACAGTTATCATAGGTACTGATAATAAATAAATTATAACAATAGAGTAGTAATAATGTGTAGTATATATTCAACGATAGATATATTGAATAGACCAGTCCTTTTCGCGACTAAACCTTTTTTCACACCTGATTCATACATCTATAAATATATATATAATAATCTTTGCATTTCCTTGCACGTATTGTAAATAAAATAAAATAAAAAGATTTGAAAATTGTGAGATGCATGAAGTAGTGGTGTTAGAACCTGGTAGTGGAAAAAAGAGAAAGCCTTTTGATGAAAAACCTTTCAGTTTCTAATTTTCTGTTTCTAACTGGGTGATTACATCTTGTTTGGAAGAATACTCTTCTATTCCAGTGAAGGGCAGTGGAGAGGAAGAGGTGTACGCAATAATAGTTTTCTTTTAATAGCGTGGGTAATGCTTTCCCATATCAGCTACGTGTCGTTTCCTAGATTACCATAACTTAGTTTAACGGTTGCACATGACACTAAGAATGTTATGCTCAAGTTAATAACACGTGGTCTAAAATGGGAAAACATTACGACCAAAGTAAAGAGGTCTATAGTTAGGCACCATTTATTTCCTATTGCAAAGGGGGGAGCTGGGCTGGCACCCTTTGCGTCTTGTATATTTTTTGACCAGCCAACCCCCCCTTCCCCCTCTGTAAATCATAAAGCAGCTTCTTCTCTTTACCGGACCCCCCTAGAAATGAATAATAAATGGTCCCTAAGCCCATACATTTTATCAATAAGAGATTTTTGCAAAATAGTCTTCGACAGACCCGGCTCTTTGGCAGTTAAAGCCAGGCGTTCCTCCCTCCAAAAGTCCGAACCCCTTCCGATGTTCACGCGAGGATAGTTCGATTGGCCAATAAGAAAGACGCACGTCTGGTCGGCCATCTTTGTTGACATCATTTGCTATTCTTGCTTTCGTTGTGTAATTTTGAACAAATTTCAGCAGTTTATTTGGAATATTAAACACAAAGACCGTCAGCATAAAGAAGAACTACTTCTACAGAGTCAACATGAACTCGTTTTTTGGCAACAGACCTATTTCTATCAACGCCTTGAAGGATTTTTCACAAATGTAAGTGAAGTGAGTGGGGTGACATTTCGTATAAACGATGTCTCTACATAAATTATTTCGTCTTTCCCCAAGGTTTTGTTTTGTTATGTCGAAGGGTGCTTGCACTTAGCACAAGAATGAGTTTCCCTCGTTCTAAAAAAGGTGTTTATCTTCATGCATTAGAACGAACTAGTTTATTATATGTTGTACTATATTCATGTACGTTAGCTTGCTTATATGAGCTTTATACAAGAAAGCTTTTATAACATTTCACCTACCGTATCGAGCGTATCAAAGGTTGCCTTTTCCTCACTATTCCCTAATAATCTGCACATCGACATACTATTTAAAATTGAAAAAGTTCTTTTTTAAAATTGAAATTGCTTCAACTTCAAAACTGGTTTCGTTTTCGATATCATGTCAATCAGGCCGGCCGTTTTTTCTGAGCACAAATACATGTAATTTCGTCGCTTCAGTATTCCTTCATACGGTTATAGGGCTAGACATATAGCTTTATATAGTTGCTATTTTGAATCTCCACGAATTGTGTCGTTATTAAAGTTGCATAACTTTTAATTTCTCCCCGAATTTTTCAAGTGGAAAACCAGCAAAACACACTGATTTAGCTTGAATRTGAAATTATAATATTGTGTTATAAGATTTTGTGCAAGCCTTATAGGGGTTTTTTGGAGCAGTGAAGCATTTCAGAGAATTCCAATTATGCAGATTCATCTTTAGTTTTTTTWAAATCTTGTTTTTAAACTGCAGATTTAGAAATGATTAAAATATGTTTGCCTTGTATCTAAGAGAATATAATGAAATTCTGTCAAAATTGCTCTAAAAATGATATCTAGTTAGGTTATATACAAGATGATGATCTGAATATGACTTGAAAGCCACTCAAAATAAAAATGCAGATAAGCTAAATATAAATATATTTTGTTGTGCTCAAAGAGTTATGGTACAAGATTGTTAATAAGAATATCTTTCTGTTTCACTGTCTTTCTTACTCACTTACTTACTGCACTTCCTTACTTGCATGTACTTCCCTCCTTCCTTCCTCCCTCCCTCCCTCCCTCCCTCCCNCTTCCTTTCTTTCTTTCTTTTTTTCTTCCTTTCTTTCTTTCTTTCTTCCTTCCTTTCAAAATTTAATTCAATATTTCATTCTTACCATTTCATTTCATATCCCACTTTCAATTGGAATTAAATCATTGAGACTAAAGAACAGAAATTTCGTTGTCATATATAACTTCAGTTATAATAATTCTTAATACTGATCAAACAAATAAGGAAACATCTTTCTCTAATAGATGTAATTCATTGCATGAGAATATTTTTATAAACAATGAAAGTAAAATTCGTTGTATTCAAATTATCTTCTTTCAATAGTTTCTAAAAATGATATTCTTTTAATACAGAAAACAGGTGCAAAATATATAGAGTTTTAATCTAGTTTTATTTGTTCACTTGACTCTTTAGAAAACAGTGATGTTTACTTATGAATACAGAAGTCTACCATACATGTAGTTTTGTTATTAGCATTGTTATGTGGCTGGGAAATCCYTTGGTTGATGGAAAAACTGCTAGAAAATTCCCCAAACAGATAGAATTGGAATTAAGCATGTTGGGTTTTTGTTGAGAGAGGAAAACTGGAGAACCTGGAGAAAAACCCTGAAATCAAGTGAGAGACCCAACAAAGTCTACTCACATGTGATGCTGAATCCAGAAATCTAACCTGTTATCCCAGAGTTGAGTGGGAGGGTGTACTACTGATTTGATAGTTAGAAATAGGTATTATTGTCAATCAAATGCATGTGAATTTGTGTGGTACATTTATGAATTGTTTACATCTTTAAAAACATGTATTTACATACACATACATGGTGTTTAGGTTTTCTTCTTATTCACTTGTTACATGGAAAACAAGTAAATACAAGTGATAATCACTTGCATCCAGTACATATACATGTAGATAACTTTATTTATATTCAATATGTACTATGAGCCAAAGACTCATATTAGAATTAATACTTTGCATATATGTATGTAATGTTTTACTAAAGGTTACTAAATGTTATTTGCAATCTGTTGTATTTAGTAATCATCAGACCCGCCAGCATTTGAAGAATGTATATTCCTGCCTGTGCTTGACGATGCTTTCTGCTGCAGTTGGGAGTGGTATCCACCTCTTCACAGACATCCTTAAGGTGATTTATTTATTTATTTATCACAAGTTTACATATTTATAATATATATATTTTTAGGTTATTAAAATCATTATGATTATAAATTTTTTCATAGTTTATGTGCAACTGAGATAATATTTTTTACAATCATTGCTCGGGCCCAGTGAAGGGGATCATCCACAAATTCAAATACTGCTACTGTGTGGTACATACATGTACATACATTGTACAAGGTAAAGTACAATATTTACAACATCCAACTCAATTGTGGATATTTATGGATATTGGAAAATTTGAAAACTCAGTGCAAAACCCTTGTGGCAATTCAGCAATAATTAAAAACCAGGATACAACAGTTGTATATATACTATAGGCCATTGATAGATAGCACTGTAGCAGACTAGCATGCTTTACTTGTCAACTATGAAAGAGAATGAGTTTTGATCAGCAAATTTAGACCAATAATAGTAACCTATAAAAGTGGACATTAGGTCTTGCAATGAACAACTTCCCACTTATCTGATTGGACCATATCCTCATACTAAGGCCAAACAAAAAAATAAGTGTGTTTCCTGTTGAGCAACCGACCCTAATTTTCTTGCCGATTTTTGCCGACTCTAATATTCTTTTCATTCCCAAATGTACCACAGGGCTCCCAGTAAGCTCATTTCCACTGTTGTATCAGTAAAACAAAAATCCGGCYTACTGACCCCAATTATTTTTCTCATGCAACAAGAAACACACTTATTTTTTGTTTGGCCTAACATACCTCTATGTACAATGTCTACGTAAAAATAGCTGAAAATCCTGGTCTCACTTTTTTGTGGTTGACTAATTATGCATAAACCCAAATAATATTGGGGACACGCAAGCATGCATTCTAATCTTTTTATTCTTTCCAGGGTGGAATCCTGTCATCTGTGGCCTTGTTTGGTCTCCTGATTGCTTTGGCATTTACTCCGCATAATGGCAAAAATCAAACAAAGAGAGTTGGTGAGTTTAATATTAAAAGTATCAACACAGCTCTACATGAATTCAAATGGCTTACATGACTATATTTTCAACATGTTTTTTTTCTATTCTAGGTATTCTTATGGGATTTGGATTTTGTTCTGGTGAGTGTTATTACCTTAAAACTTCATCTTTTATAGGTTTAATAATAATTTAAACATGAAAGACAACAGTTACATTTATTAAATTAAATTGAAGATGTAAATTTGTTTCTTCAAGTTAATATTTTTGGAAAAATATATTTGGAAAAATATAGTTCTCCGGCGGGATTCTAACTTGAGACCTCCTGTTTCCCCCTGATAAATATTAGCTCAAGGAAACAAGTTTACATGTTTAATTAATCAATTCCAAGCGCATTAAAACATGCTTTATCAGTATTTTTCACGCAAGTGAATATAATAAATCTGGCGAGCTCATTGGTTACGATTTACTTCTTATTATAGCATAAATATAGCATTCACGCGCATGCTTGTTTGCTGCTTGCAGGAATAAATAAAATTTTAATAAAACAACTCTAGTCTCCAATATTTATCATATTTACTTGTGTTAAAAATACTATAAAAACAATTGACTACTTCGATGATGTGGCAACCATCTTGAATTGCATATTGACTGAAAGAAAGTATGGACAGAAATCACTGAGACCTTTATATTCCTTTCAAATGTATATTTGATGGGTTGTTGTTCACAATTATTATCATATCAGTAAACGGGAACATTTAATTTAATTTGATTAATATTTAGCTACTTCAGTGATTTCTAACCATACTCCCTTTAGGTGCAGTAGCATAGACTGGAGCTGGTCAACAGCAAAGCTTTTTGAATTGACTGTGTATTGTTCATAAATTTCACTTTCTTTATTTTCTTGAAACTTTGTTATTGTTATACTATTTTTTTGGTAGTTATTTCACAAGACGTTTTTTTAATCCTTTGCAGGTTTGTGTCTTGGTCCTCTGATGGATAGGATCATGGAGATTGATCCAAGGTATTAATTAATTCTTTGATGGGACTACTACAGCAGTCTTATATTTTTTGGTTGTTTTAGACAGAGTGGAGTAGGGGCTACAAGCAATGCCTGATCCAGGTTAAAACGAGTGCATAACACATGAAAATAGCAAGATGTAGAGCATGATTGGTGAAATCYGGGATAACCCTTTACACATTTCATACATATAGTACATTTAGACTACACTTACATGTTTATGTAACAATAACAATGACAACAACAATTTATTTGGCAGTATATATACAAAAGGTAAGGTGTACATCGGTGTTTTTTCCAAATAATCAGAAAATATAAAAGATATTATTTCAATTTCTAAAGCAAAATACATTGATGTATTTTAGATAGTTTGTCATAATTCAAGCTTCCTAGCTATCTTGTCTGTTGCAACATTGCCCTTCTATCTTCTTRGCATTTGTATATGTATTTTGCAACAACTTTTTGGATTTTTTTATTCAGGTTGATAAGAAAATGGAATTTATCAATAAGATCATTGATAGTCCTCATAAATTTTGAGTCCAGTTCAAAATCCTCAAACTGAAGACCTTATCCATTTATGATACTTTCAGCATTATTGTTACTGCCTTCTTTGCCACAACGTTGATCTTTGGATGCTTCACATTGAGTGCCTTGTATGCCAAACAGAGAAGCTTCTTGTACCTTGGAGGTAAGTCAATATCATACCAGATGCAAAACATGTTAACACACAATAATTATCTATACAGTAACAATATGCCCTTGATTGCAAAATAAATATACCTTATTCTTTGTTTCCCCCTCTTAGTTCACTTTTCATTCCCTTGAGAATCATTTCTTTGTTTGTCAGTAATGTGTTAGAAGATACATTAATACGGATGAAATGTGAAGAATCTTATTCTCATGGAAAGGACTTATGCAGGTCTGAAATGGAAAATTAAGGCACCCTAATGTATAAGGTTTATACAGATTTCATGTATTAGGGGTTGGGGGGTAGAGGGAGAAAATTGGGAGACATGAACGTTTTTTTAGAAGGACTCTCAATTTTAGAAGGCTGTTATTGATGTCAACGTTTAATAATTTGTCATTTGTTTGCCAATGCTATTTGCTATTTTATTGTACAAGGTATTCTTGGATCTGCACTGACGATGCTCTTCATGCTTTCCCTCATCAACCTCTTTGTTGGATCTTTCTTCTTTTACCAGGTAGTTTTTTATGTCATAGTTTCTAGATAATAGACCTTTCCCGAATTCGCTTGACTGACCACGAAACAATGGTTTGAAGTAGAGACTGGACTTGATTCTTTTGTCCATCAAGTTCAACCTAGACTTGAAACCATTGTTCATTGCCATTATTCACATATCCTGGAAAATACTTGCATTTATAATTATGCACACTAGCATTAATTATGCATGTAACTAACCAACTTATCCACACTTGCTCACTGCTGTTTGAGTAGAGTTATTGAGGGCCACAAGTTTATTAGCTTTTAGCTATTTCGTGCAACCCTCATTAAATAAAAGCTTCTATCTATCCATCTATCTATCTGAGTTTACTGTGGTTTTCAATATGCTGCGAACTTGGTAATTGGGAGCTGCATATTGAAATTTGATTTTTTGGTTGCTGTCATTCAAAAAATAATCAGTCGGTACCTTTTATGTTCTTGATTGGTGGCAGTGAAAAAACCAATTTCACAACAAGTTGTTGGAATGTCTGACTTTGCAGGATATGGAAGACTGCAGTAAGTTTTGGTTCATTATATTGTATATTGTATATGGTATAAAAAGTGATGATGTTCTGTCTTTCTTTTAGATCCATCTCTATGGTGGCCTGTTGTTGTTCTCTGTTTTTATTATCTATGACACCCAGTTGATTGTCGAGAAGCATCGCCAGGGTGATAAAGACTATGTATGGTGAGTGGCATCCGATATCCAACAAACTATGCAAATCTGCCTCTCGTCCACTAGACTGTTTTTGATTTACAGTTGCTTCTTCCCCTGGAGAATCAGTCAAGTTGGCTTTTGCCTGTCTTGGACAGGGACAGAGAGAAAAGATGGGGGGAGGGGAGGTACTTCAAACTCATTCTAAACCCCTCCAAGAAAAACAAGGACTTTGCGGATTCTTGAGGGAAAAGGGGGACTTTTAACACCTGGCTATTTTTATTACTATTTGCTGATCAAGACTACAWTTGCAACATGAAATCAGCCAATACACTACCATCAATGAAAAAAATCATTAGAGGACAATGGTACATCGGCAGCATGAGAAGATACATGGGAATCGGCAGGTTATTGCCCAATTTCCATGTGGCACCTGTTGTCCCAATCAGTGCATAGCAATGAAAACAGGGGTAACAGTCTTCTCCTATTAGGACTATTCCCACTTCAAATCAATTTCAGAATATCTGTAATAAATAAAATAATTTTTTCTCCTTCAAAGGCATTCTCTTGACTTGTTCTTGGATTTCATCAACATTTTCCGTCGAATCATGATCATTCTTGCGCAGAACAAGGTAAGCTGTCCCTCTGTTGTTGATTTTAGAGTGTTTATTCTTGCTGTCATTGTTGTCTAGTTGTTGTTGCTTCTGCTGCTGCTGCTGTTGTGTTGTGGTTGCTGCTGCTGTTGTCTTGTTGTTGCTGCTGCTGCCTTTGTTGTGCTGTAGCTGCTGCTGCTGTTTTGTTGTTGTCGCTGTAGCTGCCGCTGCTGTTGTCGTGCTATTGCTGCTACTGAAAAATGTTCTTTTTACTCTCGTGATGGTAGATGTCTTTTTACTGATGATGATTTGTTATATTGTTGCTGCTACCGCTACCGGTGACTGCTGACATCCATAGCCTACTATTTTTGCTAATAAATCCTACTCCTTTGATCTCTTACCAGGAGTCCAAGAAGAGAAGAAACTAAACTTTCAACTGTTGCGATGTCACTATTAGATGTACCCGCTGCTAACTTGTTGAGCTATTATTTAAATGTCTTGAATTAATTTTAAACCGTCGAAAGTACACTGCAAACCCCCATGAAAAAGTACTAAAACTAAATAATGCTAAATGATTTGTGCAAAACTCGTAAATATTTTGGCAGTAATTAGTACTTTTTCTTGTGTTCATTGGGTGCATTATAGTCAAAAATAATGTGTTCGAAACTAAATGTCATGAATCTAAACTATATTTAGCTCTTAGAGTGATTTTATTTTGCCCATGAAACGAAGTTTATGATAAGTGACTAAGTGCAATGTAAAGTCACTCTATTGTGCTTATATGATTGACAGTGGGCCGTGAAATGGTCAAGGTGTCACTAATCAAATAGCAGATAGATGTATGTGTGTATGCACTAACAGGGCCTCTGGATCATTATGTAGATTTGTGAGAACATCCCTCGCTTTTGTCGCTACTGACATTCCATTTCACCCCAATCAACCTGGGGCAGCATTGTTAACTTGCTAAGCGAAGTGGGGGCAGAGTAGGAGGAAAAGCAAAATACTCCCTGTCTCTTATTCCATTTCTTGTGTTGTTCATTCCCCCCCC